CATCCTCTTCACAACTACCAACACCCAAGACCTTAATATCATCAGCAAATTTATTGACCATTCCTTCATCTATGTCATTGATGTAAATCAAAAAGAGCAAAGGTCCTAAGACTGAGCCCTCAGGTACCCCACTTGTGACATTAATCCAGTTTGACTGAACATTTAAAACAACCCTTGGGGTTAGGTATACAAGACTGTTTCATTTAAATTTAATACTAGAGTTATGATAGAGATAGCTATAAAGTGCAAGTTTTTAAATTTAGTATTTTTGAAGAGATAATTTATCACAGATTTGCTTACATAACTGTTTATGAATCATTTGTTGTGCAGTTCAATTGTTGTGAATTCATGTCACGTTACTCGAACCTTCTGAATTTTTCTTGTTGCTTTAAGTGAGCATTGTTATATCATAACATAGTTATCTCATAGTTTGGAGAAAGTTCTAGGCCTCCAGTTCAGGTAACCAAGTTGGATGAAAAGAAAGTTAGTGAAAGCAGAAAGTAAGGCAAAGTTAGTGAGGGATATAGTCAAATACATATAAGTTTAACCATAAAGAGTGTATAGTGGCAACTTTGAAAGTGTAATAATCACAAATTGTATTGTAATAACAGAATAGAGAATAATAATTCATCTTATCAATTGGGTTCTAAAATAACTGAACCAGCCTGCGTGGACTTTTGACACAAAAGAGAATTATTTAAAACTAGATACAACTGTGCTAACCCCTGGGTTAATGTAAGTGAATTTATCACTGATTATAGTATGGTTAAAGAGTAAAGGAGAATAATTTGTCTTGTCAAAGGGGTGTTTTATAGTAACTAAACCAGTCTGTGTGGACTTTGACAAAAAAAAAAAGACAATTATTTGAAGCTCTGGATATAATTGTGATAACCAATAGTGAAAGGAATTTTTGTGTAGATATTTGACTTGTTTTAAATATATTAATTTAAAATAAGTGGATTGTGTGCTGTCCATTTATTGTTCATATTTATCACCAACAAGTCATAGACACCAATGTGAAGAATCCAGCCCATACAAAACCTGACACTCTTCTATCCAATTAGCTAACATATCCTCCACACCAATAAAGATAATTTTTTACAAGCCTTTTATGTGGCACCTTGTCAATCACTTTCTGAAAATCCAGATACACCAAACCTACACCCGTACCGTCATCTACATAAGCAGTAACCTTTTCAAAGTATGTCAAAATATTTGTAAGGCAAGATTTTCTCTTAGTGAAACCATATTGGCTGTCCAATAAAATTCTAAACTATGTTAAATGTGTTTGCAAAGCATCTTTTATCAGACTTTCCAAAACTTTTTTCCACAGCTGATGTAAGACTAATGGGTCTATAATTACAGAGACAATTTTTGTCATGTTCATTGAAATAAGGAGTTACATTAGCTAACTTCCAATCCTCTGGTACCTGCCCACTATTGAAGGACTGACAAAAAATAGTAGTAAGTGGCTCACATATCCAATCTTTAACCTCCTTCAAAACCCTTGTGGAAATATTGTCTGGTCCAGGAGCCTTATCGTTCTTTAAACTTCCCAGTTTTTTTCTTAACCAGCTCAGAATTAATGCAGTCATCTAGTTCGATCTTGTTTCCATCTATCAACTGTCCAAGATTTAAAATACTGCTTAAATCATTGTTAGTAAAAACCAAAGAAAAATCAAAATTTAATAACCCAGCCATCTCATAATCATCAGATATCAGCATTCCTTTATCATCCCTCAAGGGTCCTACCTCCATACTAACATTTTGTTTACCTTTAATGTATTTAAAGAAATCTTTACTGTTAATTTTTACATTTTCAGCCAACCTTTTCTCATACATTCTTTTTTGATGTCCTAATTTCCTGTTTCACTAATTTTCTTGAGTTTCTATAATCTTCTAATTCTCCTGTCAACCAGTAAATTTAAATTTCTTACATTTATGATGCTTTTCTTTAATTCTATCTTTTATACTCTTTGTGAGCCAACCTGGTTTTTTACTTGTAGCTACCCTTTTCTTTCTATAAGGAACATGTTTACCTTGAACATTAAAAAATGTATCTTTAAAAATTTTCCAAATCTGATCAGTGTCTCCAAATAACTCAGCTGCCCTATTCACAACATATCATTCTTATTGCATCTCTTCAAAATTTGTAACCAAAATATCATTATTCCTGATCTCCATTTGCTGCATAACATCAAACCTAATGGATAAATGATCACTTGCACCCAGATGGTCCCCAATTTTCACTCTCTCACAAATTTATTATAAGTTAACAATAAATCTGAAATAGCATTGCTTCTAGTAGGTTTCTTGACTAATTAGTGAAGAAAGCCATCTTGAACAGTTTCCAAAAACCTTTCTCCCTCATAGTTTGACTCCTGCATTTCCCAATCTATGTGCACTGAAATTAAAATCACCCATAATTATGACCTCATTAATGGCTGAAATCTTAATCACACTATAAAGTTTCTCACTAACTTCATCAGTATCATCTAGTGGTCTGCAACAAATTCCCACTAATAGCCTTTTCCCTTTATATCAGCTAATAAAAACCCAAATGGATTCAATTTCCTTGCTATTATCTTTGATATCCTCATCTTCAACAGTATGTAACTCACATCTTACATATAAAGCCACTCCCCCCTCTCTTTATTACTCTATCCCTATTAAATAACCTATAACCCTGTATTTCAAAGAAATTACTGTCATCAAAATAATCTACATTTAAACATGTTCCAGTTATTCTCATTATATCAAAATCCTTCCTTCCTACCAGTGCTCTGGTGTTCTATTTTATTTCTCATACTTCCAATATTAAAATAGTAACAATTAAGCCTATCCTTATAATTACTTCTATACTCTTTTCCTATACTAAACTTTTCTTAGCCTCTTATTCTTTTTTGCATTTTTTTTCCTGGCCCTCATCACTGTCTAGTCCTAGTTTAAAATATCCCTTACAGCTGAGTTAATAGCCCTTGTAAATAAGCCAGAGCCTACCCTATTTAAATGTAAACTATCCATTCCAAAATGTTTGCATTTTGCCCTAGTGACCACAATTAATCCTCAGCAATATCCCTGACACAATTAAGTTTTGGCCTTTTTCATTAAATGCCTCTATCAACCTCTTGTACTTATTAATATGCTCCTCTGGCCTACCTTTCCCTACATCATTAGTTTCTATGTGCACAACAAAAACTGCATCATTGTTAGCCCCCTTCATTTTATCTATTGTTCTGTCAATTATATCCCTTCCACCTGCGCAACTGGGTAGCACAATCTAATTATTTTCTCCGTTTTTACCGCACACACTATCCTATCCACATGCCTTGTCAAGGAATCACCTATAACCTCCTTAAGTTTATCATCCACATCCTTCTCTGACCCTTTTGCTTTCCTTCACTCCAATAGTTCCACATTTTCACAAGCCAATGGCTGAAATATGTTGCTCAATAAATAGGCTCATTGCAATTAAATCCACTGCTTTTAGCCCTAATAGTACTGTTACTAACTTCCTGAAAGTAATTGTTAGTACATGTATTCCTTGAATGTAAAAGCTTAAGCTCTTCTTGAGATCCTGCTGCCATTTTCCACAGTCTACACTTCTCTTTATCTGTTACATGTACTTTAATTAGAATAGCCTCCAACTTCTCTGACCTACAAAGTACAAATTCTACATACAAACTGCACATCTTAACTACTACTACTACTAGTACTAGCTTCCTTAAAAGTACATATCAGTCCCGATTTCACAAATAAAACCCACCCATTGCACCCATCACACCTAACAAATTGTGAACTCTTAACTCCTACACTAGTTTTAACCAATGTATTTGTAGCCTCGAAATAAATACTCAGTACTAAATACCATTAGCCTACTGTCAACACTGTTAAGCCTATCGTTTGAGAATCAAATATATTACCTTTTTATCACTACTTTATGTTTACACTAAAGTAATTAAGTTTATCTTTAATTATATAGAAATGGCAAATAACTAGTCCTTACTTTATTTATTTTATGTGTACATAATACTAATAATACAATGTATTTAGCCTGATTTATAACCCACCTATAACTAATAGTAATAAGTTATAAGCTGAATTTAAACTAATGGATCTACAGTCAAGTAACAAGTTAATCCTCAAAGTCAAAATACGAAGAGACAATCAACTAGTCTTTAGACTGTACTTGTAAAACAATGTATTTAACCTTTTTTATGATTTATCAGTAACTTAGTAAGTGAATTATAGCAAAGCCTAAACAAAAGTACCATTACACTTCCAAGATTAATCTAAGGATTTAACCCTACAACTTTTATTTACCAATCTTACTAAATTTAGTTATTCTTTTGTTATTTAACCCAAATTACTACAAATTATAATATTAATATTAAATAATATTCAAAAATCTATAACAGTATAAGAGCTTAACTTTCCAAGTCTTCTCTCTTCTCATTTAATTTGTATTATAATAGACAAACCATATATTAATATTGGTGGTTTTTATTCTGTGCTTTAAATAAAAAAAATAATCTGTTGAATATTATACTTGTTTTCCTCAACATATCTAAAGCAAAAGTAGAAGATGCAGCTTTTTTTATTGTAACATTTACCTGTTTTTGTATTTTATACAGAATTTTTGTAGATTTAGAATTTCAACAGTGCTTAAAAACTGCTGGTTAAATAGTTTACCAATTTTTAAAAACTTAAATTTTTTACTCTACAGTTGTTAAAATGTATTTATTTATATTTTGCAAGAAATTATTCAATTGCTGAAGTTCACAAGGCAATTGAAAGTAATTATGAAATTTTCTTTTATACAACTTTATAAATTGAAAAACAGATTACTTTTACTTTAGAATTGTTACATGCTTGTAATACCTCTTATTGTAAACCTTAAAGATTTGTAAAAAGGACTAAAACATGTATGATCAGTGTAATATTGTAAAACAGTTTTATGTGTTTATCAGTTTGATTAAACATGGTTCTTTTCGACTCAGTATTTTAACAAGGGCTTAAAAGTAACTGCAGATGCAACACTTAAAAAACAGAAGATACAGTTATGGGATAGTGTGGTGACCATAGTCTTAGTGGAGGGAAAGAACCTATTTCCAATGGATGAGAATGGTCTTAGTGACCCCTACGTCAAGTTTAGGCTTGGAAATGAAAAATACAGGAGTAAGGTAGAAATTTATTTTATTTCAAAAAATAGTCATTTTAAAAATGGTTACATCCACGTAACATATAATCCAAATATTAAATTTTCTGATTTGTTAGTGTAATATTTTGTGTGATTATATATTTTTTCATTATCAGATGTGGCAGAACTGTCATAATTTAAAATTATACTGATAATATAAGGATGCTAACAAATTAATGTAAAGACACTTTTTCTCTCTAATTATGGTTCAGATATGATTAACCTGATCATGTGAAGATACTGTGAATCATCATTTTTACTGATTTACAGTAAAGTATTATAATCAAAGGGAAGCTTTATTACAGAACGTATTATTGATTTACTATTACTAAGTTCAATGATATTATGTTTCATTGCTGTATGTAGAATCCAACCAATTTTTGAGTGGTTAGGCCATTGCCACAGTTAAGTAATGTGACCCACGATGCATGCAAAGCATGTCACTTCTAGCAAGGGGTCTGGGGGATGCTCCCCAGAAAATGTTTGAAAATTTAATGCTATGAGATTGAATCTTGAGCCATTTTAACTGCAAATAATGCATACACACAATGTAATGTATTAAATTACAAGAAGTAAGTTGTAATTATACATACCATGAAAAAGTAGTCAGACCATGGCCTGAGTGGTCTTACCGCTTTCTACTGCATTGTGTTTATAATTTTCTGTATTGTTTCAATTTGTTGTACAGTTTTCACAGGCTTCTACTCTAGATATAAACAAAATTCAATTCATTACACTTGCCATAAAGCATAAATATTAGGCCTATCGCATTTCTAGCACTACATTATTTTTTTATGTTTTTTCAAGAATTATAAAGGTGTTGTTACGTCTCCGTTTGTTAATTGATTTTTCCGTAACTTCGTTCCAACGAAACTTTAACGACACAAGTCTTTACTTAATAAAACTGGTTTATTCTTTCCGAATAAAACTCTGCGATACACTTAATCTCAAGATTCGCGCTAAAACAAACACTATAACGAACTGTTACGTCTCCGTTTGTTAATTAACTTTCCGTAACTTCGTTCCGACGAAACTTTAGCGACACAAGTTCTTTACTTAATAAAACTGGTTTATTCTTTCCGAATAAAACTCTGCGATACACTTAATCTCAATA